TAACCCGCGACGACGGCTTGCCGAACTCTTTAAAACCTCAGAACTACCAAAACGAAGACTTCCAGTGAGATATACAGCCATGCAAGTTTTTCTTGTTGACCTTCGTTTCGAACTGAGAGCTATGCTTACCTATTCCATATTCAACACAGCTCTCAGTTATTTATTGTATGAGTTTTTTCAAACCATTTTATTGTAAGCGAATACTCAATGAAGATCGTAGTGGTGGTACACGGTGTGTGGTAAATTTTTAGTCGCCACCCTTGACCAAAGCCGATTTTCAGCATCATGCGCTTTACCAAGCTGTGTACAAATGTATCTTGTCTTTCCTAAGTCTGTTATGAGTCTATCGAGTAAATTTTCTTTACCCCAACAATCACATTCTCCTGCTAAGAAAAAACTACATGACATTTAATACACCGCTAGCAAATTATCAAGACAGACACGCTTGTGACTGATACAAATTATTAAAAACTGGATCATTGGATAATGCAATTTAAGACTTTTTATTGGCTTAGCCATTATGGTATATGAGCCCATATACCATAATCTACAAATATGGTAAGCGTACGCATCAGCTTAGAATTAAAAGGGAGCTAAAAATTTAAGATTTGGTAAGATTTGTCCAATATCTTGGGAGCGTTTATAATAAAACAATCATCCTTCGTCAGGCAGGCGCCCATATTTCACTACATCATATCGATTGAACACGATAAAAATAATATGAAAATATTTATGTCTTCCAACCAACTACTTGACGTAATTATGCAGTGCTTATGCTTTCAAAAGAAATCCAAAGTTTCATTTTAGCTTCAGTTATTTTAAGGTAATTTCTAATGTAAACAATGTGTGACAGAAGCGACTTTCCGGCGCGCGTCGAAAATAACAAAGCTCTACTTCTCACAAGTCGCGACATTTCAAACATTTTAGATTGAAAAATACTGCGTTGAAGCTAATTCAAAGCAATGAAGATAAAACACAACTTTGCAAATTAAAGGTAAATGCTGAAACAAGCAAAATTTAATTCGAAAAAATTTCATTCGTAACAATTAACTTCTGCCTTTTGTCAGCGTTAATTTTGGCAACGAAGTGTTTGTACTCAATTTTGTCAGTGTTTACGCATACGAACAATGATCTTCAAGTCTATCATTTCTAACTAGTTGCTTGCCAACTGGAGCTGATCTTAGTTCCAAATGGCTCGTGTTCAGTTATACACCGAGGCTGGGTTCCTATAACTGCAAAAATAGTTCGTCTCATTCCGAGGTAGCAATGTAAAATGAATCCGTAGCGGGCACTGCGGTCTTCTTTAGCAAAGTAACTATCACTCCACAGCTAGGATTTGTTTGAGGAAAAAACCTTTGCCTTTCAAATTGAGTCGGTGTCCTAGTACATTTAATTCTTAGGAGGATACATTCTCGTTTTCCGTAGGTTTCTCTTGACAGTTGCCGCAAGAGAACCACTCGCGATTTCCAAGACGTGAGCGACTGAGCGGGTCGACGTTTCTTCTTGAAATTCATTTTCTTGACTTTCTCTCTGTCTTTCTCCCCAACAGAAGTATCTCCTTCCCCTGAAGACGAGCCATGTTTCGTTTGAAACATAAATGGATGTACTACATCCTCTCGCTAGATTAAAATCCAAGTCGAGAATTCAATAGGTGGCGCCCCCATCGCCGCTGTTTTCCTT